CTTTATTATTTCCTCTACATTTAATTCCTGTCTCATATAAAATCTTTGCTTATTCTTCATTTAAATTCTCTTTATATCCAGTTAATGTTTCCCATCTCTTTCTTAATTTATAAGTTTAATTCACTTAAATCCCTGTTGTTTCAAAATATACTCTTGCCACTTTTGTCCAATGTCTACAATTCTCTCCACCATGTGCATCAACTATTTGTAAAAATTCCTTTTTAAACTACTAATCTTCATGAAATCCTCTTGACATTTTTATTTATGATATATCCTTAAACTTATTATATCACTAATTTCTTATTATTCTCAATTCAATTTTAATAATCTTATCTTTTTTTTTTATTTTATTAACATATTCTTATTTAATTATATTTTTCAAATATAAAATAATAGTAATATTAATCATATTTCTTCCTTCATCATAAACTCTTTACTCTTTATTTTCTTTTATTTCTTTTCCTTTTTAATACACAATGTTCTATTATATCGAAAATACAAATCTAAATCTGTCTTATTTTAAGTAAGAAATGGCTTGACCCATTTAAATTAAGCAAAAAATAATCTACAAATTTTTCGACCCTTCTATGATTTCATTAATTTCTAAATGGAATTTCTATTATACTTCTAACTTTCAATTTTTAAAAACTTTCTAATAGCTAAATCCGACATGATCTAACTGAATTCTGAAAACTATGTGTATATGAACTTCTTTATTTTTTAACCAATATTTTTATAGTAATTTTTAGTCTGACCAGGAAACATATGACAATAATTACTCATTTCAGTTACCTCAATTTTTAGGTTGCATTTCTCTGTTTTCTAACATTCTATGAATTCTTCCTTCTTTACACTCTCTTTGTTCTCAGTCTATTATATTGAAATATTCTTATATTCTGGAAAGCTCTTCATCACTTATGTGTAATAAACCACTCTATATGGCAATATTGCATTAAAATGATAAGGAAAAAAAGGAACAAGAATTTATTCATTCATATTTTTTAAATTTTTTCTTTCTGTATTTTGAGATATAGCCCAAGATTAATAAATGCTGATAAATTAACAGAAATCAAAAGCATAACTTATATTTCTTTATTATAAAATATTCTCATTTCTAAGAAAATTTAACTTCCGACATAATTTCAATTTTTTGATTCGCCTGAAGAAATTATCTCTATAATTAAAAAATTATCTTAACCCTAAATTAAAAATTACAAAAGTTATGTAAAAGCATTCTTATAAAATTAATTAATAAAGATAAATAGAATTTATTTAGAAGATATATAAAAACAATTAATCATTTGTTAATTGAGAAATGAGAATGTAAAATTAATTTTAATGAAAACTTTGCTTAAATTTTATTTTTTTCTTTAAATATAAAAAGATTAAATATTTTACTTGTTATAAAATAATTCATTATTCTTATGATTAATTGATTATACTTAATTTAGTTGGATCTGGTTCGATATCATGACTCTTTAAGATATCAAGTAATTCCTTTTTTTATCTTTCCAGCTCATATATTCTTTTATTAAAATGTGTATTAATTTCAAACATGTCTTAATACTTTTTCTCCAATACATCAAACTATATTTACACCTCTTTGACTCTATTTTACTAAGATCTTTTATAAAATTACCTCATATATAACTAAGTCTTTGTGACTAGTAACTTCCTTTTTAAAATTTTAAATTTCCTCCATATTTTACCTTTTAGCTTCTAATACTTTATTAATAATTGATTCTTTTTATTTTATAACTTCTTAAAGTTCTTTATTCTTTTATTTATTTTTATATTTATACTTTTTATTTAGATCTTCCTAACATATCAACTAACTTTTACACTTAATCTTCAGATTACTCTTTACTTTTCAGAGCTTTTTCTCTTATTTAACTCTCCATTTTAAACAATGAACTATATGTATCAATATCTTTTTTAATTTATAAAAATTCATCCAATAATTTTGCTGTCTATTACTCTATATCTTTTTATTTTGGAAAAAATATATTATTATATCGATGATTTTCTTCCTCAACATCCTTTAATTTTTCTCTTAAATTCTATATTAAACTTAAACTTCCCTTAGAATTAGCCATTAGTTCATCTATTTCTCTAGTTTTTCTAGATAAATTAACTTCCAATTCTTCAATCACTTATTATAATCTTTTAATTTCCACAAACTCATTAGATCTTTTAGTAACTTTCAATTCATTTAATTACTTAGTTAACTTTTCATTTTCATCAACCAAAATTTCTATTTATTGTCTAAGACTTTAAACTTACTTTGAATTATTTGTTACTTATTTTAATGCAGCTGGATCTGATGATAAATTACAATAATTTAATAAACTTGTAATTAAATCATCATAAGTATCTTTTAATAAATTAAAAAATATTCCTATTGAATAACTCTCCTCTTTCGATTCTAATTAATATCTCCAAACTCCTGCTATTATTTCACTTACAAAATCAATTTCTTTAAATTCCAACTTCTCACTTACAATTTAACCTTTTGTTTATTTAGATTCAATATTATTTAACAACGCTTTAATCTAAGCATGAACAAAAGGTTCATTTCTTATATTCATGTCTTTCCATAAAAGAAGTTTTCTATGTAATAATCCTTTTATAAATTATATTATTAGATTATCCCTTAAATTTAAAGTCTTAAAGAGCAATTCAAAATAATTCGTATCAGGAGTCAATTAATCCTTTATTGATTCTATAAATTTAACTTTTTAATAAAGAATTTTTTCCCAAAAAGGATCTGGATTTGTATTTCTATCTTTCAAACCCATAGTATTTCTTGCAATATTTAGCAATTCAGATAACTCATAATTCATTAAATCAAGAAATCTTAAGAAATATCTTTTTTATTCTTATAATTTCTCTGCTCCATCCTTAACCTAAATTGAAGATGGATTCATATTTTAAATGTAATCTTGCTAATTTCTAATTGCTGGTGCCAATTAATCAAATGCGGCCTTCATTTTTTCTATATTCTCTGAAATATTTTTTTTCTCATTTATTCCTTGTCTGGCATAAGAGATTTATTGAACTATTGGTTTAATTGATTACATTTTTATAATTATATTTTTAAAATATATAAAATCAATCAGAAAGCACATTGGCATAATATAGAATATGTATTAGTGAAAAAAAATACTTTAAAAGATTAAAATAGGTTAATTTAATTTAGACTACGAATCTAAACTATTATAATAAATTATTTAATGTACAGATAGCTAAATTAAATTCAAATCTAATTATATTATATGTATAAAAAATTTTGAAAATTTGATGGGATGATTTGATCTATAAAAGATAGATTTTATATAAATCAAAAGCATTAGAAGAGATGAATATTTCAGAAAAATAGTATAAAGATAATAAAAAGCGTATTTTTAGTTTATAAAATATATATTATTTGATAATATATCAAAGTGGATAAAGGTTTCTTGATTTTTTACCCATGGTAATCATAATTAGTAAAACAAATAAATTGTAAACTTATTTATGTTCTAGAAATAAATAATGATTATTTAAAGAATAATAATTGAAATTATTATGATAT